AATATTCTTGAATAATTAAAAAATTTTTAGAAGCAATTATGACATTACTTTTTGAACAATGTTCAGAATACATTTTAAATGAATTATTTGTTTAAGGAAAATATTTGCTTAAATGCTTAAAGCAATATTTTTTCTCGACAGACATTTTATTTTTTTAAATAAGCGTTGAAACTGAAATTTGAAGCTGTTGTAATTTACATTCTTGTAAAAATAAATAATACATTTCCTTGAAAATAATATAAAATATTAGAGCATAACATAAATATGACTAAGAGAACAATAAAAACATCAAGTTGATCTATAAGCAACAACACCTTTTACATTAAAAACAAAATCAAAATTAATATCTTATTAAAAAAAATAAATGTAAAATTTAAAAAGAAAATATGTTTTTACTCTTCATCAACTTAGAATAAATGTGATCCGCAGCTACAAGAAATTTATAGCTGTAATTTAAAAGAGCAATTTGTTGCTGGAGTAAGAGTGGCTAAGTGATCTTCTAGTCTACATTCCTTATTTTCAAGTGAGGAAACTTTAGAATACGAAGTCTTAAGACATTTATGGCCATAGTATAGCAATTTATTGGCCATTAATTCGACTTATACTCTAGTTTTATTTGAGTTTTAGAATATTAGATGGGGAGTGTCAGTCTTCTTCATGAAAATATTTGCTTGACGAAACTGTTTTGCTTTTTGTTCAGATGGTTTTAAATTTAAAGTTCAGTTCTTTGAATTAGATACAATTTATAAAATGAAGAGATGAAAGAAAATATTTTTATTTTTGTTAATTTGTTAAATTTTTGAATCTTATAAAACATAAATTTTTGAATCTTATAAAACATAAAATTTGAAAGAAGTAGACAAAAGTTAAAAGATTATAAGGAAAAATGAATCTGCTAAAAAATTTTCGTTTGCATGATATAAATAATAACCAAATATGCGGAAATATTTTTAAAACTATGCGAAATTGTTAAGGCAAATTATAAAAATTATATAAATAATATAATGATATCTCAAAGAAAACTAATAGCCGTTGAAAACTAAGTGCTAGCTTATTAAAATAAGAAAAATAATATAAGTAGACTAATATAAAGTGCCCTACAATAATGGTGCTATGTCTCCCTTTTGTAAATATGCAAATATAAAAATAAATTGTTCGTTTGTGATATCCAGAATATGATATCATCGAAATTATATGTTACACTGTATAAATCTAGGATAGATAGCCATAGTTTTTTTTAAATCGAACTGAAAGTACTGAGAACAGGGAAACACGAAATGCTTCTGCATATTTTAAATTTTCACTCATGTACACTGCATATTTTGAGCAGAAAATAGTGAAATATTGAAATCAAAATACAATTTTTTTTAAAAAAATAAACGTACTAGTGGCTGTATATAGTAGACGAGAGAGACGTCCAAGACGAGATGGCGTTATACCATTTTATCGCAAATACTTCTTCACGATTATAACTAATTTAAAATTTAAAGTATAGAAAAAATAAGTTTAGGAAAAACTAGAGAAAACCTAAAGTTTCAAATACTAAATTTTTTAAGAAAAAAATATTAAAATGAAAACATATTATGAGAGGATACCTTAGGATTACGCAATGCGAAAGTTTTCTTCCGATAATTTGTTTGCATTTTGATAATTTAATTTTTTTTTTTTTAGAAATTGAAATTTTATGACCTATTCAAGGTTTGCTTTAACTTATTATTTTCTATACTTAAAATTTCAAATCAGTTATGGAGATGAAATATAATTTTCGATTAAAAATTTCTCTCACTGTATAGTGTTCTCTTAATGTCGAGGAGAGCTGACTTATCACCTACATGTTGAAAAACAGCAAAATGGTCGGCAATTTAATTTAAAATCGTCGAAATAGTTTTAAGCAACATTTGCCTTTAACTTTACTTATAAGACAAATTAAAAAAAATTAACTTATTTAAAATATGTAAAATTTTAAGGAACCTGTAATTAAATAATTTTAGTAATTAATATTTCTCTATTAATTGAATTATATTTTTCAAGAAACATAGTAAATGAGGTTTTTCATGTATAATTAACACAAAAGACACTAGTTTTCTAGCATCTATATGCACAATAAATAATGCAAAGAAAATTTGTTTATTTTTAAGATTTAAAGGGCATACAATTCTCTTAACTATTCTGTCTTCATTTTTTCTTTGTTGAAAATTAATAACCAATACTTGAAACTGAATAACAGCATTGCTAACTGTAAAAATTATTTAAAAAAAAGGGAAAATAGTGAATTTATGTTTATGTAGTGGTGACTTCTGTCGCATTATTTTGAAATAAATTCTAATATTGATTCATTGAAAACATTTATTATTTCCCAGGCATTTTTGTCTTTAAACTTCTTAGAAAGGATATTAGATTTGTATTATGTATTATTTGTTCTAGGTTTCTGATGGAATCTCTTGTATCTTTTCTTTTTTTTTGTTAAAAGTCTGAATATGCTTAATAGCTACTTGCATTTAAATCAATAACACATATCAATTTTATTTCAAGATTAATTGCGATATTTCAATTTCGTTGCATCTTTTATACATATATATATATATATATATATACTCAAGAGCCAAAGCATAATGACCACCCCTACATTTTGCAATGAACTTTCCTGGATGACGTGGAAGGTACGTGATCAGTTGGAAGTGGTAATTAACTGTTGCTGGAGAGTTTGAAGAATCATTCCTTCACTCACTTCTGTGTGTGATGGGAAAGACTGCGGATCTAAGCGACTTTGATAGAGGACAGATTGTAATGGCTCGAAGGCTCGGACCAAGTATTTCCGAAACTGCACGACTCGTTGATCGCACGCGATATACAGTTGTTAGTACTTATGTAAAGTGGATGAATGACGGTGAAACCAGCAGTAGATGACAAGGTGTTGGACGCCCACACGATATCAAAGAAAAAGGTTGTCGGAGATTGTCTCGCTTGGTGAAGCAAAACCGAAGCCAGATAGTGGTTCAGCTGACAACCAAATACAATGCAGGGTCAAGTAGAATAGTATTAGAGTACACAGTTCAGCGGACACTGTTGGAACAGCAAACGTCCCACTCGTGTGCCTTTGCTGACCAAGCGTCATCGCCAACTACGCCTGCGCTGGGCCCGGGAACATCGCGACTGGACCATGGATCAGTGGGAGAGAGTTGCCTGGTCAGATGAATCACGGTTTATCATTCATCACGCCGATGGCCGTGTCAGGATACGCCGTCTTCCAGGCGAACAGTTGCTCCCTCAATGTACAGTAGGTCAAGCACAGGACGGTGGTGGTGGTATTATGCTTTGGGGGACGTTCGCTTGGGAGTCTCTGGGACCCGTGGTTGTGGTAGAGCAAACCATGAATGCTACAGGGTATCTGAACATCATTGCGGACTAGTTGCACCCTTGCATGGCCTCTGTTTTCCAGCTGGAAATGGAATTTTCCATCAGGACAACGCCCCGTGTCACAAGGCTCAAATTGTGTTGGAGTGGCTCCAGGAACATGATTCTGAATTCCAGTTAATGTTCTGGCTGCCTATCTCACCGGATCTCAATCCGATGGAGCACATTTGGGCTCAGAGTTCAAAGACCACTAAGTCGCAATATCTCGGATTTGCGTGACCGTTGCTTAAACATCTGGTACAATCTTTCTCCGGCCATCTACCAAGGGCTTGTGGCATTCATGCCAAGGCGGGTGGCTGCTGTGTTGCAGGCTAAAGGTGGGCCAACTCATTATTAAGAGGTGGTCATAATGCTTTGGCTCTTGAGTGTATATATATAAAACTACTCTGAATTACTTTTGATCTATTGATTGGATCTTCATGCTCTAGGACGGATCTTAACCTTAATGACTCGAGGGGATGAAATCAAGTATGCTAATTAATAAGTGCAGAATACCGTTTTTTCGATGTCTTCGATCCAAAATTAATGTTTATTTTACTTTTTGTATATTTTGCCACATCTCCAAAGATAATTAAATGAAGAAAAAAAGTAAATATTTATAATTTTTATTATTTTATTTAATAATTGTCGAAGAAATTCTGAATTGTAAGGTATACAATTTTTTTCATTATTTCTAAGAATATATTTTTACATTCCAAATACAAAATTTGAGTAAAATAAGTTGAATTAAATTATAATGGTTTGTAATATTATTATTTAATTTGCTGAGTTGGAAATTTTTACTATTTATCGATTCCTTTTTTAAAAGTTCAATGAAGAATTTTTTACACTATATAGTATAATATTTTTTTGCTTTTTCATTGTGGCTTAGACCGAAATTGCTAATGCGTTGCTCAATCGCAAGATTAATTTTTAAAAAAATTCTAGCAAGATTTTTATTATATTTAGTATTTTTTATGTTGTTAAACTCTTTCAAAGAAAAAAAATTCTTCAAATAAAATAAGAAGGCTTGAAAGTCAATGATAAAGCATTAACTATACCACAAAATCGCTAAATTTATCAAGTTAAAAAAATACAAGTATAAAATGAAATAAAATATATAAAACAAATAAAACACAAAGAAAACCATGCATCGCAATAATCGAAATCGCATGTCATGTACTTACAAATAACTCTAAAAAATGTTGCAAGTTATTCGTTCGCAATTACGCGACACACAACATATATAGGGGAGGGTAGCCTAAAGCGGGTAGGTCGCCTCTAGCGGGTAGGCATTCGTATCCCGCCGCATTGCGCGCAAGCGCCAATATATAAGTATGCCGTGATTACCCGAATACTCACGAATTTCAATCAGTCCCAGCGGAGCAGAAGTAAAGCGACATGGCGTAACCAAGCACAAAATAAAAAAATTATTAAGTTTATTAAAAAAACTCAAGGTATGTAATTTGTGGCTAGTCGAAAGCCGGCTTATTTTTTTTATTGTCAATATTATTACATTATTCTAACACTATTCCCCTATAAACTACGATGTTCATTTTTTTTAAAATTTTTTTTTATTTAAGGTTATAATTTTTTTAGTAAAAAATATGCTTTTGGGCAAAGCGGGTAGGGCGAAACAGGTAGATACCTGCTTTGCTCTACCCGCAAAGCGGGTATATGAATCTCACAAATATATTGAATCTCACAAATATATTGAGGCGATCGAATATGCTAGAAAAAATAATGTAATTTTTGTATCGCTGCCTCCTCATACAACTCATCGCATGCAACCTCTGGACCGTTGCCTTTATGGACCGTTCAAAACTTACTTTGAGCAAAAAGTTTCCACTTTTCAACGAAGCCATGTAGGTAGAATAATTACTCAGTACGACGTAGCTTCACATGTTGGAAAAGCATATTCCAAAGCAGCTAGTGCACAAAATGCTGTTCAAGGATTTAAATCCTCAGGAATATGGCCCACGAACCGACGCATATTTAGTGATGCTGACTTTTTGCCAGCTAGTCTGACAGACAGGGCTGAAGTTATTGAAAACACCAACGATAGCCAATCGCAGATCCAATCTACTGATGCTGGTCGTCTTACTAATAATTCTTATTGCTCTACTTCTACATCTGTATTTGAAAACGTGGATCAAAATTACTCTCAAGCTTCAAGGATTTCGCTACGACGCACAAACGGAGAAACTTCGCATGATCCAGCTGTTGAAGATGATCCTTCATGTTCTACGACAACTAGTGACAATTCATTTCAGCCAGTAGAAGAGCCATTGACACCTCATGTGAAGCCTTTGGATATTAGACCGCTACCAAAACCTTCTCCGAAAAAAACTAGTAGTAAACATAAAACTCAAAGAGCTGAAGTCTTAACAAGTTCACCATTTAAAAATATGCAAATAGAAAAGGAAGAAAAGAAGAAACGTCTTAGTAACAATGCTGCTGTTCAAAAAAATTAACAAATTCTTCCTTCGACAAGTAAACCAAGTAAAACTAAGAAACAAAGAGCTTCATAGAAAAAAATCGTAAAAGAGTATTTTTGCCTTGTTTGTGGGGGGCCTTATGAGGACCCACAGCTAGAAGATTGGATTGAATGTGGAGATTGTAAAGACTGGGCTCATGAAGCTTGCACAACTTATTCAGGAAGAGGGTCTTATTTTTGAGAACTATGTCAAGAAAACAAATCATAATTTGAGACTAATAAAATAAGTCTAAAATTGTTATTTAAATGTTATTTTTAACGTTTATTATACGTGCGATTAAGGTCTCATTATTAATGTGAACGAAAATTAATATGCGCTTGTATTTGCAAAATCTATGGTGCTTACCCGCTTTGCCCGAACGGCTTACCCGCTTTAGGCCCCTTGTAGGACAAAACGGGTTTTTTTCAGTGTTTTTTATTTTTGATAATAAATAATCATAAAATTTAAAATAACGAATAATCATTTTTTATTTTAAAGCTCAAGATCTCTCTTAAGAAATAAAATCAAAAACCTTGCGATAAAAGCCCAAAAACTACAACTTTTGAGAGTTTATTGTTAAACTACCCTCTTTAGGCCACCCTCCCCTACATATATATATATAAGTTGAAAATATAGAGACTTGGAAGTAATAAAGTGAGAGAAATTGATGAAAAAGAAAGAAAAATAAAATATTTTCAGATAAAACTATTTAAAAAAAATTTTTTTTTACAAAAGAAAAAATTAAAAAGCCGGAAGGCAAAATAACGAAAAGATATACTCTTCATCAGTTCATTCGATTATAACCGTAAAAAAGAGTGCTTTCCACTTTGTATCAATGTAGCCAAAGCAAAATATTTCAATGCAATAATGTGAGAAGAATTAAAAAAATTGAAACGAAAATTGAAAACATTTTAATTAAAGAATATATATGAAATAAAATATATCAAGCAAAAATCAGAAAATACACAACAAAACACAAAATAAAGCAATTAGCGAATTTAAATGAACTTGCACATACCAGAATCTTTAAAGAGTGATTCAAAATATTTTCGTAATACGATTGCCTGATTACAAAATATGAAAACAGAATCACAAATGGAGTTAGAAGCGTATATAAAGAGATCTTTTGCGTCGCGTTCTTACTGCAATACTGAAGCGCGTTTGATTTGTTACTTACCTTGAATTTGCCCGAAAATGAATTTGAGGATAGTAATAATATTATACTAGATAATTTAAAGTTTATAATTAATAAAGTTAATATTTAATAGTACAATTTTCATGATTTCTGAAATTAACATTTATTTAAAAAAAAAAAGGGAAATATGATTTTCCCTTTTTGAACAGATGGATAGCCATGGATTTGCCCAAATTTGATTTGAACTTTGAACATGGTAAAAATATAGATTAATAAAGAAGTTTTTATAAAATTTATTAATAATTACGTACATTTAACTCAATGATTTTACGTCTATTTGTAAATTAAAATCATTTCTTATATATATATATATAGAAAGCGGCTGTATGTTGCTTGTTGTTGTTGGTTGCTTGTTCTCGCAAAAACAGTTTTTTTCAAGTTCCCACTTTATGGGAAATGCACAATTTTTGATGTGGATAAAATCTTATAGAATGACTTTTAAATCAGTTTAAAAATAAGATTATTATTCATTTCCCATTTCTTTTATATTACTAAAACATGTCTATAGGTCATTCTACCACTTGATCACACTATGAATAAAAATAAGTAAAAATTGCTTTCAGGAATGAAAATGATTTGTATTTATAATTTTAGAATCTCGAAATTAATCCGAATATCTTAATTCCGAATATCAAAATTCATATCAATTTTGGATTATTTTAAATTTTGTCTCTAGTGTATAAGTGCAACACTTTACTACAATATATTTACTTTAATAATGAATAAATTACTTACTTCAATGATTTACAACTAGCCCATAAAACAGCGATTAAGTTCATCTTCAAATCGCTGACCGTGGAATTCATTTGAATACCTCAAAATTCTGAACATTTTTTTAGGAAAATTGGTTTTCAAAATATGAATCATTATAAGTTGCTTTCCTTAACAGGTATATTTGTATTTGACTGATTTCAAAATTTCAAAAATTAACTAAGCTTAATAATCTTTTTTATTTTTTAATAAACTTTACTTTGTTTCAGTAATGTATGAAGTAGGGAAATAATGTTAAAGTTAAAGGTTGAAAAATAATTATAAAGCATTAGCTCTTAAAAACATAAGTTTCCATTGTTTATAATATAGTTATTTTTAGTTCCTTATTTTATTAAAATTAGAAAATAAGAAATGTTAGAAATTAAAATTCACTTAAATTATTTTAAATATAATATTTTGAAAATGATTCACATATTAAAAACGTTTCAAAAACACATAATTCAAGTTTTATTTATTTTCTCTTTTCTTAATATACGAATAAAAAAATTTCCATTACAAGCTTAAACTTTTAAATGAATTATTTTGCATATAAATATATTTTAATAACTTATTTGAATATTGAGCTTCAGGCTAATGGTTTGCTTATGAATTCAAATTATGGGAAGAGTGAGTTAATCATTCAATTACTGAGTAAATCTCAGTTTTAACTCTAATCGGTATGTGCACTAAATGCACCATAATTGTCACTGATTACTAAGGAAGGGTGTGATAATCCCTAAATAATATTGATGATACTTTCTCTCGATATGATGTTCTATTTAAGAGTAATGAATCGCCATTTCGAATAGACACTTCTCTCTGGCAAGTAATGCGATAAAAGAAAAACAGAAAGCTTACCTATATGTATCTCTATAAATGTTGATTTGCCATATCAGTCAATTAAAGTAATTTCAGTACTGTATTTGCGTTATTTGTTTTGTCAGTCATTAATAAATGGAAATGAAAATTAATAATACTTGAACTTTTATGCATTTAAATATCGTAAAGGATATTTTATAAAGTTTAATCTTTTTTGCTAATAATATGCTGAAAATGATGCTCTACAGCGTAATACAAATATCTCTACTAAAACTAAATCAAAAAGTAAACAACTCCAACGACCACCAGGTATCGGCTAGGTTATTACAAAGGAAACGGCTCCACAATTTCAAGAGAAATGAGATGAGAGTGGTATTTGGGTGAACAGTGTGCACCAGCCACCTCAACACCCACACTGTCAAAAAACTCGTCACTGTCAAAAATCTTTAACCAGTATTTGGTGCTAAGTTCCTCATTATCCCAAAGTTTAGTTAAATGGAAGATAATTTTATTTTACTAACACCATAAATTGTGAACTATGATCGAGAAATACTTCCATGGTGCAACTGACTGCACCAAAATTTGGTAAAAGACATAAAACTTTGACTGTAAGCTGCAATATATGTTTGAGACTCCATGTTTTCTTTACAACTCGATCTCGGTGTATCGGGACGACAAATGCATGTTGTTTTAAGTATTAACTTGTTTAGGTAGGTAAATGTTTTATTTGCAATATTAAAATTCATTTCTTTTATGCTGAATTTTTAAATTTGGTTTGCTATATAAAATGGTTAGAGGTATGTCATAAAATAACCTTCTTCCGGTAAAGAGTTTTGCTCCGGTAAATAACAACCTCGGCTTGCATTTGAGCGCTTTAAAAATACCTAATAATGATGAAACTTTCCCCAGATTTCATAAGAGAAAAAAAGAAGGAATAAAAATCGGTGTTTTGCTTCTTCAAAACACCTACTTTTGGTGCAACTTCTAACATTTGGAGCTAGTGAAAATACCCAAATAAGGTAAAATTGAGCTTCATTTTATGTAGTCAGCAGATGAATATCAATCTTTGGTGCAACGTTGCTTGGAATTTTTAACAGTGCAAGATAAAGAGATACCTATCAATTTTAAGCTTGTTTTGTTTCAAATCGGTGCCACGGTTCGAATCCTTTACAATGACAAATTACTTATCTGAACCGTTGTGCCTTCGCAGTATCCACAAACTGTTATTTGCTTCGAATGAACCTATTGATTTTAAATGATTAAATTAATTTGACTTTAAATACCTCTTTAGGACAAAGTAAGGTAAAAATGATATTCTGGTTTTCAAAAGTATCTTTCTTATTATTACACATTTAATAAAAGAAATTCAAAAAACTGAAAGATAAATTTAACTGAATAAATAAATTCAATGCAATGTTCTAAGGTATCATGATAAATTATCAAATTTTATCACAAATTTAAAACCGTTTTTTTTTTGTCAATTTAAGCAAAATTCTTACTTAAGCACTTGAATGAAAATTGGTATTTCAATGAAGCCAGAAGAAGGGTAAATTTTGCCATGATCTGGTAGTATTAACCATGCTTTACTTCTCCCAAAATATGAAATTACATATCTCTAAATTTCTTCAAAATATTTAGAAGGAAAAAAAACTATGCAGCTTCTAGATGCAGTTTTTCCTTCGTGAAACACATTATTGACATCCATGACTTAGCATACAAAATATCTGTAATGGAAACGTTTAGGAATTCAGCGCAAGAAAAGTGGCATCTTAATTTTCTTTAGCTTTCTTATAACTATAAGTCCAAAAAACTAGGGAAACTTCCTTTTAGTCTTGTTTAAACCTTCATTTTTTTATGTAAGAGGGACTTTTCATAACGTGAACATTTAAAAAAATGAAAAATATATATTTTTAACTATAAAATAATTAAATTATCCGGTTAGTTGAAATTGTTTGTTTATACCATAGACTAATGCACTAATGCAATGAATCAATCATAAAATCGTGAACCATAATACAGTGCAAATTTACGGTTAAGTATATCGATGCTTTTGTTTAGGTTGAACAATAAAGTCAGGTTTGAAAAATAACAGTAATATAATTCAATTTAGCGCCATAATATGAGGGCAACAAATTTGAACTTTTTTATGAATTAACTCACTTTAAAATTTTTATCAGTCAGTTTTCTTAGTTTCATTAAATATTAATTAATATTTATCATTAAATATTTATTT